TAAGATTAAAATAAGCTTAAAACGAAACAGCACAGCAACCCTTTTCTCTTCATCTTGAGAACACAAAACCCTCTTTTGTTAAAATTCGGCGCTGCACAAAATCCTGGCTTTTATATTTTCCAACAAAATAACACTTCGCAACCCTGGATTTTCACGAAGCGTTTCATTCGGGTCGTAGTTTGGCTACTTCGGGCCATTCGGTGTTGTATGCCATATTGGCTGCCATATTGTTCACACTGTCATCGCCATATTGAACACCCTGTCAACTATCTGTCAACCCTAAGATATCTCACTTGTATTCTTCCACAATGAATCGTTGCTAGTACGAGGATTAGGGTGGATTAGGGATTTCGGAAAAACATCGATGAAAAATACTCAAAATGTCGATGTTTTGCTTCGATGCATCGAAAATTTTTCACTCAATGTTTAAATAGTCGATGTATCGATGTTTTTTGAAAACTGACATCTACGGTACATTGAACCGTCATTCCAGTTGTTCAATTGTTCTAAAAAAGAAGTGACTTTGACCAAAAAATTTTAATGACTGCAATAAGTTCCGTTAGAAACATAACTAGCTCAGTTGCAGTAATTTATTTGAAATTTTCTACAATTTTGCTAATAACATATTTTGTTGTTAAACGTTATCTGAAAAATCCTATGCAAATCGATGCATCGATGTATGCCCTTCGATGCATTGAGAAATATCGATGTACATTTCGATTAATCTTCGTTCGTGAATTTGACAGCTGATAAACTATTGCGCTGATTTGCAATAATTCAACGCCCTCATTTACCAAACATAGTTTTCACGACATCTGGCGGTTTCATCTTTACTCTTCATGCACGATTCGTAAATAAAATAACTTGTGTAGACGATCTCATCATCCTGGCGCAGTGCGAAAAGGACTTTTGAATATACTTTGGAATGAATTGTGAACCACATAATGGCAGCACAGATGGCTCCGAAGTAGAACTCTGTTGTCGTGTTTGTCTTCAACTTGAAGATTTGATGGTCCACATTTACGATAACGGCATTATCGAGGATTTACAATCGGATCTAATCACGCTGCTGGAGCGCTGTGGTGGTATCAAGGTATTTGCATCCAATAGCTTTAAATATTGTTAACGCCCATGTGTAAGCACTAATACACGTAGGTAGCAGAGTCCGATGGTCTCCCAAAGTTTCTTTGTCAAGAGTGTACGACTGAACTGCTTGTAGCTGCAAAGTTTCGAGAAAAATGTGAACGCACACAACAACTTCTAGATATGACAACTTGGAAGGAATCTTTGCCTATTGATGTTATTTGCGCGGCAACCAGCAAAGAGCCTGGAACTACATCTGATTCACAATTATTAGAAATTCACAGCAATATTTTCGAGATAGACCCCGAAGAAGCTGTAGAAATCAATTTAACGGGAATAGAAGTTGAAGATGAATTGTCAATTGGCGCTCAGTTGAATGCAGAGATATCGACTGAACAGGGAGAAGTAAAGTGTGAGGAATTTTACGAAAACGTGGAATTCTACGAAAACATTGTCGATGAGGAAGCAGACGAGATAGATGGACGATTTGAAGCTTTTGAACAAGAAAAGCGAAGAAATATTGCTAAAGAACAAAAGGTAAATAAACACATTTTCAATGAAAATCACAATCTAAATTTGGACTTTCCTAGCTCGATGAGGAATACACATGTGATGCTTGTGGTGCCGTGTTCTTACAAGCCTTCAACCTTCAACGACATTTGGAGAAGGTGCACTGTCTTTTGCAACCATATATTTGTGCTAATTGCAGTCACACTTTTTTGTTAGAGGAGTCTTACAGAAACCATAGCCAGAGTTGTGTAAAACCGTTTTCGCCTATAACCGTCGACAATACAAACATTTCAAGTAATGTAATTGTAAGCACATCCGCTGCCTCAACTCCGCGAAAATGTGATTTCTGCGGAAAACATATGAAATCAACATTCGCGCT